AGCAGACAAGGCCCTTCCCACACTCTGTCCCAGTTTCCTATGAGAGATTCCTTATCAGCTAGTCTCCCCACTAGGTGGAAAGCTCAGGGTTCATTCTGTTTAATATCCTGAAAGCAAATAAATATCATTCATTCATTTGTTCAAGAGCTAGCTTTGTGCCAAGTGCTGGGTACCGAAAAGAACAGGCCTGGGTTGGATTATATAAGAGACAGGGGAGCTTCCAACTCTCCTCAGTGGCTTCAAGAACACTGCCAGAAGGAACTGGGAATGTCCAGTGCTCTAAGAGTGCTCCGTCCTGGCTTTCTACAATGCAGAGGCCCAACCCTACATTTACACAGGTGCCTCTGTCCATCTCACAACATTAGGCTCTGTCTATTCACCTGCTTTACAATAGCAGCCAAACCAAGGACACAGCAGGATCTATAATAGACTTATGGTCTCCCAGTCTCTCTGCCATAACCCACAAAAGCTCCTTCAGGTCAAAGGATGCACCCGCCTGAACTGAGAGGCGGTAGTATGAAGGAAAGAGACATCCAGGGATAAGGAAGCCTGGAGGTACGCTCCAAACCTCACTGTTGGTAAGCTGTGCACCTTGGGGAATTCACCTAACCTCACTGACCCTGTTAATTCATCTGAAAAGTGGGTTTGGCTAACACTTGCTCTCCACTATTAGGGTAGCCTGATTTTCTCCACACTAATATTTACCATGTGGTCAAACAAGTTCAATGTCACAAGAACAACAGAAGTGAAAACAGGAGCACTGAGGAGCTGTGGGTGCAAGGAGAGCAATTCTCACTAACCCAGGGTGAGGGTTATGGTGGGGAGGGGTGGTCACTTTGTCTAAGGACCTCCACACACACAGGACCCCTTGTGGGAAACACATGGACCAGGACTGAGCCAACTGGCCTCACATTAGGGATGCGCTACACTTTACGAGTCCTTCATGTCATCATCACAGAAGCTTCTAGAATCCCTGAGATGCAGGAAAATGGGTCTAAGAAAGGGAAAATGACTTACCTAAGGTCCCCACATAGTCAGAATGTAAATTCAGCCTCTAGCCCCCCTCCCCAAATCTGTTTCTCCCTACTCTGAAAGTCATCACCATAGATTCTAGAACCCCTCCTTCTAAGCCAGGATTGCATTGGTACTCCACAGGGCGAATCGAAGGCTAGCCATCCTCAAACACATCACACAAGGGGAATTTAGGTAATTTGCTTCATTAAATGACTCAGGGTCACAGATATGGGAGGCTGATACTGTCCTAAAGGAGATGGTGGGAAGGCCAGCTAAGTGGTCCCGCCCACTTGGAGCAGAGGAAAAGTGCACACAGGGAGACACTTTACAGAGCCAGCAGCTCCATCCACAGCAACCTGGAAGCCTCTGTCCTCTGCTCTTCCCCAAAGAGTCTAACCTGATGCCCTCTCACCCAGCAAGGGCCAAACCCTCTCCCTACCCCTAAGGGCACCTGGGATACAGGCACACCAGCCCACCAACCACCCCTAACCACCACTTCCAGAGAGCTGGTCTCAGAATCATCCAATCTCCTATGGCTACACAGGAGCCAACTGAGGACTCCAGTGTGTAACATGGACTCACCTAGAGTCACACAGCAAAGGCCACACTCAAATGGCAGGTGCTGAAAGGCAGACACCCCTCCCTCACACAAGCAGTCCTTTCAGCAGATCTGGAACCTTCTACCCTTTCCACCCCGACCAAGGATCTGGAAGGAAAGCAGCAAAGCAGGTGGGGTGGGGAAAGAATCTGGAAAGCCAGCTGACCTGCGCGAGGAGGTGCAGGCACAGGGCTCAAGGCTGTCAAGTACAGATAGGGGTTGGGGTCACTGAGTCATTCAACAAACAGATACTTGAAGGAGTTTATCCATCCCATAATTTATCCATCCCATAAGTCTCATTCAACAAATACTAAGCTCCTACTAAGCACCCTCAGGTGTCTCAGCCTCCTCCCTCCTCTGCTCTCACACTCAGCTCCTCCCCCTTCCCCATGCCCCATGTAGCCCCCTTGCTGCCCTCCCCCAGGAGAACAATTGTTGGGGTCACCAAGGAGTGACCCAGACCAGAAGAGCAGAGAAAGGCACAGCCCTCCCAAAATTACCTGGTGTAGCCAGGGCAGTAGGGTAGGCGTCTGTCTCAGGGAGGACGATGAGGTTCTGACACCGGCCCAGGGGGCTTGCCCCCTCCCCCACCTCAGGCCTTCATCAAAGGGCTATATGGAAAACCCAACTGGCTCAGCTGACTTCCTCTTGTGTCATGGAAAGTGAGGGTGACAGGGACAGGAAATGGTCTCGATGGGATCTTGGGTCTGAGCAGGCACAGAACCTGGGGCCTAGAAGAGTGCAAAGGGTGGGGTAATTAATGGGCAGCAGGATGGGGGAGGGGCTGAGGAAGCTGAGGAGGGAGATTCCTGGTCAGGGGCTGCAAGGGGACCACAGCCCCCGGAGTGCAGGGACCCCATCACTGCCATCCCCTCAGGTACACAGCCAGCGGCTGAGGTAATATTTTCAGTTTTCCAGAAACAAATTACCGGGTAAAATGGAAGCCACCACCGTGGGTGACCCTCATGCCAGTGAGAGAGGTTAGAAATCTGTCCAAAGTCCATTGTTGGTTAGAGGTTGTACAGTGGGTTGCTTTCTTTGCTTTTGATGAAGAGAAGAGAGGCAGTTAGAAGGGTTGTGGAGGAAGAAAGACGTCCATGTCCTCATCTGTGAAACTGGAAGCTGAACCCAGTTCCCTTGCTAGCTGGGGCTGTCCCCTGGCTAGGATCGCTGTAAAGCGAGGCTGTGTTCTCCCAGCTGCACCTATGTAAACCAGTTGTACGAACAAGCTGTGAAGAGCACTGAAGAAATACTAAGTGATGCTGAGGAGATAGCTCAGTTGGTAGAGTGCTTATCTTGCCAGCATAAGGCCCTGACTTCCATCTCTCACACTGCCAGGGGAAAAAGAAAAGAAACACTAAGTCATAAACAGAAGTAACCAACATAGGCCTCTAGAATATAAGCAGGGTTCATGTTCTCTCTCTCTCTCTCTCTCTCTCTCTCTCTCTCTCTCTCTCTTTCATTTCTGTATCCCTAGTTCTTAGCATGGAGCAAAGCCTTGGTGAATGAATGAATGAATGAATGAATGAATGGTCTAGAATCCCAGGACCAAGAAAGGTGGTATGGCAAGAACAGGAAACAGGCAAGGCCTGATGTGGTGAGGGGGTGTCTTGACCCATCCCCACTAAGGCGGTGCCACCCCTGGAGAGGGGAGGCTTCCCACCAATCTAACACAAGCTGGTGGTGTAGTGACTGTCACAGGAGGCCTCATGCCTTGGTCTGAGATACATATTTTTCCTTCCGCTAAACAGGCTTCCAGAAGCCCTCTAGATCCTAGTTAGCAGAAAACAACTGAGAGGGGGTAGCAGAAAACAACTGAGAGGGGGTATTAGAAGCTTCCAGGGCTGCCTCAAGTGCTCAACACCCCTGCCTATGCTGAACACACAGTCTCTTGAACTACAATTGTTGATCTATGACCGCCTGGAGTGGCCGGACGCAGCAAGGCAGAACTAGACATGGAAGTGGACCCAGCCCAGGCTCCCATCTTACTCTTCAGAATCTCAGAGAGTCTGCCTGTCTCTATAGAGACACAAGTCCAGGCAGCCCCTCCAGGGGTGGCATCCACACAGATACAACAGACAGACCCACCATGGAGATCTTGAACACATAGAAAGATTGCAGATACAAAGAGATCCCACACCCAACATGGAGATCTCATATTCAACACAGAGATCTCACATCCAACATGGAGATCACACATAAAACAAGAAGATCCCACAAACAGCATGGAGCTATCACACTCAATGTGGAGATCACACATACAACATGGAGATCTCACACTCAACATGGAGCTCTCATACCCAACACAGAGATCACACAGCCAACATGGAGAGCTCACATGCAACTTGAAGATCTTATACCAAATATCGTGTTAGCATACCCAACATGGAGACCTCAACTCAACACAGAAATCTCATACTCAACATAGGGAACTTATACCCAACATAGGGATCACATACCCCAACACAAAGGTCACACACGCAAGATCTCTCTCTCTCTCTCTTTCTCTCTCTCTCTCTCTCTCTCTCTCTCTCTTTCTCTCTCTCTCTCCCTCTCTCTCTCTCTCTCTCTCTCTCTCTCTCTCTCACACACCCACACACACACACCCACCCTCAACCACAACCAACACACCCACAGACACTCACACACACACACACACACACACTCTCAAGTGGAAGCCCAACTTCCATGGAGACACCTTTCCTTTCACATGTGCTGAAATTATATTTGCAATCCCAGCACTCGGGATGTTGAGGCAGGAGGACCACCACAAGTTCCAGGCTAATGTGGGATGCACATAGCAAGACTGTCTTTAAAAAAAAAAAAAAAAAATCCCCCATAGGGATTCACATCAGAATTCAGCTTTGTCCCTCATCCAAGGTAGGGAGGACTTGGATTTGGGTTTTCCTCTCTAAGCCTGCAACAAGACCCAAAGTCGTGTACCCCCTTTCCAGCTCTCATAGCCCCAGCCCCAATCAGGGCCCTCTGGGGAGAATTCCTGGCCCTGGCCCTTGCCCTGTCCACACCTCTACCCTCAGGCCAGCTCTCATAGTCCCCAACTTCTCCCTGACCCACAGTCCCAATCCACCAGGACACTGGGCTTTGTCCAGGTATGAACATGACCAGCAGGCACTACCCCAGCTTAGGGCACCTCAGGCAGGAAGCCGACAGTGGCTAGGGCCGCCATTTGAATTGAGGCAGGTGGTTTTGCCAGGAGGAAGTTGACAGTTCAACTTCAAACACCGGTGACAATGACGCAGGCCCAGTACTGCCTGCTTCCCCATTCCACCCCTGCCTGTGCCCCCTCCCTCTCTGAGAGTGAGACACTGGGCCAGCCACCCTCACCCACGGGTGCTGTGCTTACTTGCTGAGACTGAGGCATCAGGAGGCCGTGCCCATGGGCTCTTACCAAGTGCCGCTGGCTATCATGTACCTGCTGGGAATGCTGGGTGAGTCTCTGCCAGGTCCTGTCAGGCAGGATACCTGGGCATACTGGGGTACAGTTTGGAGATCACAGTTCTCCCCAGGTCTGAATATAGGGCCTGGACATCACTTCCCTGGAATATCAGGGAGGTTTTAGGGCCACGGAACCTCAGCTGGGCTCTGCTTGTCCAGCATCCTCCACTGTTGCCCAGTCTTATTCTTTCTGTACTGTTGAGAATTGATTTCTTCTCCAGCCTTAGGCTGGAAGTTGGAGCACCTAGTTCCCATCCTGTGCAGCCACTCCCTGTAGTGTGCCACCCAGGATTGCCTAGCCTTTACTTGGTCACCTCCAGAGAGGAAGAAACCCGCCATCTCTACCAGTATCTGAAGATTCTCTGGGCTGAGGGGACCAAAGTAGGATGGTCCCCCAGCAAGATTATAGCAACCCTGGGTCAGTCCCAGAAGACTCACTCCAGACCTGGGGCCATCCCTGACAATGGGAATGGGAAGGACGCTTAACAACCCAGCAGAGGTAGGCAGTGCATGCTACGCCTGGAGGCTTAAGTTCTGGGCTCTAAACTTAACCATGGAGAAATCTCCCCATGTACAACATGGGGCCATGTAAGGAGCAGGAATGTGAACTGATGAAATCTGACCACTTAGAGGTGTGACTGCTGGATGCCAAATGTGATGAGAAGGAGGAAATGGCTTCCCACTTTGCAGGGAAGAGGCTGGGGCGGCATGCCTCACTCTGCACCCTCAAAAGCTAGTGGGTGAGTGAGCATGGGAATGTGTGAGTCTATGTGTATATTGAGAACTATGTGTGCTCTCTCCTGGACACTGCATAGCTCCTTCATCCATGTGACCACAGGTCAGATGCCCATGCATATGCTACTTGTACACATGACAGCAAGAAGTATAAAGTGCCTGTTCTGACAGGCCTTGGCTGGTTTCCTGTTCTCTGCCAGGCCATTGCTGTAGTCTACTTTAGACCTGAGCATTCCTAGAAGCCAAGCCTTTACCCCCAAGCCAGCAGTCCTCTGAAGCCTTAGGCCCACACATAGGGAGGCTGGACACAGCTGGCTTCCCACTGGACATGAAGTAGGTTTTTGACAGGACTGGCAGATCCCCCAGCCCCATTCAACCCAGATTCCAGAACAGTAGGGGATGCACCTTCATCTCCAGTGGAGGTACCAGGAACACATGGTCACTATGTGTTTGCTAGAGTTGGTGAATAACACACATTTCCATGGTGCTGGGGGGTCAAGCTCACAATTTCATTTTTATTTTTATGGTCCTGGGATTGAACCCAGTGCCTCACACATGCTAGGCAGGCTATCTATCAATCAACTACATCCTGCTGGTTTTTACTTTTTATTTTGGTTTTTGGTTTTTGAGACAGGGTCTACCATAGCCTAGAACTCACAGAGATCCAACTGCCTCTCTCTGCCTCCTGAATGCTGGGATTAAAGGTGTGTGCCACCATGCCCAGTCTCGTTTTTTACTTTAAAAAAAAATTTTTTGTACACTTATTTATTTGTGGCATGTGTGTACACTCATTGCTTACTTACGCCACAGCATGAGTGGAGAGGTCAGAGGACAACTTGCAGGAGTCCATTTTCTCCTTCCATCATGTGGGTCCCAGAATTCAACTCAGGTCCTTAAGCTTGGCAGCAAGGGCCTTTACCCACTGAGCCACCTCTCCACCTCCCAGCAC